CAACAAATCACCTCAAAAGCATGAAAGAACTGCTTTTTGATTAAACCAAAATACTTCGTCTCTTCCATACCACTCGGTTTTTTAGCCAACGTACGTGATAAATTCATTGTAAACAGTATGTTACTGAAACAATCTGGACCTGAAAAAAAGTACAGATTTATTGATCGTATATTTACAAAACCGAATATGTAAAAACTGCATTTTGTTGCTCTCGGTCAATAAGGTATCGTAAAATAACGTTCAAAGCAACATGGTAATTAATAACACACTATACCACGAATATCTTCAGACGGCAAGAATCCTACCAGGAACCCCGCTTTTACTTTTTTCTTGACGAAAAATCCACTGAGGTAGTAATCTCTTCTGAGACGGCTCACTTTTCAGGCTTAGCCACTGATAAACGTTTCCCGAATCCGCGAGTAATTTTCTTCAACCAAAAAGAACTGAACAGATGGGCACGGCCCTCCAGATCTGACATTTTCAGATTACAACGATAATATTATACAATTTGAGGATATCGCCGATTATGCGGGGAAGGAAAGCCCAAAACAAAGGATGGAGAAGTTGTGAACTGTATCAGTGATACGGATTATAAAAGAGTCGGAAAAAGTATCAAAATCAGTATGGAGAAAAATGATGACTGAGAAATGATAAATGTACCTTCAGTTATTGCAGTTATTAGATTGGATATTCCGAACTCATCCAACAAGAATAGCATCGTCTGACGAATTCCCAAAGCTTTCTGAAAAATATTATTAAAACAGGCAGTCAAAAAATCTAAAGTCATTAAACACATGTGGCGAAAGAAAATAAATACTTCACTAACAAATTAAGAAAAAAAAAAAATTCCTGACTTCCATGTGAATGACCAAAAATTTGTTGTTAAACACACAGTATGACTTATAGGGCAGCTTACGAGACCTGAATAGGAACGTTTCAATCCATCAATTTAATAAAATGCTAGAATGAAACAATAAGACTGAAGCTGAACATTAAGCCATACCGTCATCCATACGGGCTGTTTCCTGGCCAGCATACGGAAGAGCATCAACATGACAGTTGGCCTGAAAAAAAAAAGCAAATTAAAAGAACAAATTTCAAAAACAATTCTTTCTGTGTTTAGGATCGAAGTAACATTTTGTAAAGTAAACTTTCGACCCTCTCCCCTCCCCCCGTGTAGCATGACTAACATGAAGGCAAGCGATTCTTGTTAAGACAATAGTATATATATAAAATAAAGTGTGCCTGTAATTCATAAATAAATAGCGGGACGCCTCAGGTATTCAGTATTTGGCTCAATTGAGGGGAAACACAAGCCAAATACGGGAGGAAAGGCCCAAAACAGCAGGAAAGAAGGAAGGAAGAGATGAGGGAGCGATAAGACGATAACAGGAAAAACTGGTAAAACAGAACCTTCGGAATGTGTACGCAATAATTTTCTTATATTTCGCTTCCATTTTCCGTTCACCAAGCTTAATCAACTGAAACACACAA